CTCACAGTCAGCAACACAAGAAAGTAGTGCACCCCTGTGCGGGCGACAACAACCTCTTGTGAAGCGCTTGGCGATAGCCATTTGCGAAGCTCATGGCAATAGCTCTCATGAGGTGCATGGCAATAGGCGTGGGATGCAGGAAGAATGGTGATGAACACCAAACGCCCAAAGGAGGCTTGCGGACGGCGATAGGCACCACGCATGTGAAGAGGGCTTACGGTCGGCGAAAGGCACCGCACACGAGTAAGAAGCTCGCAGATGTCGATATACATTGCCGAGACCTCTCGTGGGTGGCGATAAGCATCGCTGTCTGCAATAGGTGCACGACAGGGAAAGACCCTATGGGCAGCAATGAGTTTCATCGTTTGTGCTCTTCACAGAGGCGTCGAGGATGCATCTACGAACGACGATGAGCAGCACCGTCTGCAAGACTCGCTAGGCGATAGAGATGGATGAACAAAAGGAGAACGAGGCTCGTGCATGGTGTTGCCCTCACCATGCACGACCTGTGAGACCACAGGAGAGGCATGGACGCACTACCACTGTCGTGCATGACCTCTGAGGGGAGCTCAGACGGAGGAAGAAGAAGGAGAGGAAGAGAGAGAAGAAGAAAAGAAAAGAAGAGAGAGAAAGTTTACCTTGAGCCTAGGGGTATCGGTCCAAAAGTTTCTCTCACCTTACTCTTTCGCAAACGTGACCCAACAATGAGAAGAAAGATAAACTTTATTCAGTAAAAACTCTCTCTTTGTGTATTCTGTGTGTGTGTGCCTTGCCTCTTGCGTATAATGATGGTACGTGGTATATATAGAATTTGCCCCAAACAAGGGTGAATGATAAAAAATAACCTAATTACTGAAAATTAAGATTAAATTGAATTAAAATAAATTAGAAAGTAGGGTACAAAATGATAGATTTGCCCCTTTCTAACAATTTGTTGAATTTCATAACAGTCCCTGTGTTGCCCTTGAACTTAAGTGATCTTGCATGGATTATCTGGGGTTGTTTTGATGCCCGTTTGCTCGAAAAATGATTGTTTTCTTGTGGGGCTCGGCATGACGATTGATTTGCTACCAACTTCGAGCCATGGATCATATTTTTGGGACACGATCATGTGTTTTGAATTTTGGTTGAATCTTGAAACTTTGGATCGATAGTGTGCTCGTTCCTTGATGTTTTTCTATGATTTCTTCACTGGATCACACTGAGCAAGCCGCTAAGATCACGGGGCAACAAACACAGCTCGATTTCATGCCTGAACGAAGGCTTTACAAGTTTGGAATTTTGGCCAGAATCTGGAATTTCGACGACGAAATTTGCAATCACTTCGTTGGCTTTGTGTGCGAAATCCGACCGTTCATCATGCGTGAGGTTCGGACCAGTGATGGCCGTGGACCTTACACATGTGATGGAACTGGTCTCACCTCGATCGGGCTGACAAACGGCATCATTTAGCCGCTCGAGAAAGGCATGATGCTGCTGATTTCCTGCACTTTCTTCACGGATCAGCAACTTCTCTTCTAGCTTTTCTTCATGCTCGTACATCGTCACGGGGCGTGCCACATATCGAAACGTTCGTCGTCTTAATGAGACGAACACACTCACAAAATTTGATCTTGATTCGACATCGGCCAAGTGAGATATGAGCGTCAAAAGTCACTAGTTATGATTGTCCCTTTAATGGTGTTGAGTTGCAGAGTGATCGCACGAGAATAGCATGTCGCTCTTCCTGTTTCGCTCTTTCGCCTATAACATTTTTCTAGGATGTCCGTTTAAGTTAAAATTTGACCCTTGGGATTTTTCAGCCATGCCAAATCCAATGGCGGTGGTCCCATAGCTAATTGAGACATCGAAAATATAGCTCTAGTTAAAGGGTCCGTTTCGGGGTGTTAGAGGTTGATTCTATCGGGACTGTTTCTCAGTCTGCTTTGTCTTAGACATGTTGGATTGCGACAAAACTGGGCAGGAGACCTTTGAGAGTCTTTATGAAGATTTTGACTAGTTCTGGGGCAATTCTGAGACTGTCGAGATTTCCACTCTTTGCTAGGCTTTCATTGAGTGGGAGCCCCATGATGATGAAAAATATCTTTCGACAATGAACACAACCATGAAGCTGTGGGTAAAACTATCTAAAAAGAAAGAAGCCAAGCATGATGAGCATTTGGTAATGATCATCATGAGTAAAAGTGAGATCTTCATATGGAAATAGTCACAAAGCTATTGGTAAAATTACCAAAAAGAAAATTTGGGCATTGTGAAAACCGTAGATTTTTAAACGTGACAGAGAGGGTTTTTAGACGTGAGAGAGAGGGAAAGTGAACAAAGGAAAGAGAAAGTAAGATAGCAAAGAGAGAAGGTGAGAGCAAAGAGAGAGAGAAAGGGGAGCTCGGACCTGCTCTGAGTCCGAGTGAAGGTCCGAGTGAGGAGAGAAAGAGGAAAAGGAGAGAGAGAGAGAGAAAGAGGGCTCGGACCCACCCTGGGTCCGAGTGGGAGAGAGAGGGCAAAAAAAGAGAGAAAGTAGGAAATAAGAGAGAGAAAGTAGGAAATAAGAGAGAGAATGAAGAGAGAAAGAGTGAGAAAGAGAGGGAAGGAGAGGAGAGAGAGTGGACCTAGAATGGGCTTGAGCCTAGATGCACCTTCAAGGGTCCCTTTTTCATGTACATTTTAGAGAGAGGTCTTAAGCCTTGTGGGTTAAGGCTAGGGTCTAAGGTCTAGGTGTATAGAAGCTATGGTGTATGGATTAGGTTGGTATGCTTGGAAGGCTTAAGATATATAGATATTAAGGTGTATTGGTGTAACTAAGGTATATGGTGTAAGGTAGGGTGTAGGAAAGCTAAGGTGTATGGAGTAGGGTGTGCTGTATAGAAATAGGGTAGGGTATAGGAAAACTAAGGTGTATGGAGCAAGGTGTATGGAATAGAATTGGAAGTTAGGAATCCTAAGGTGTATGGGAGTTAAGAGTGTATGGAAATCAATGAAAAGAGCTTGAGAATTCTATTTTCTTTTACTTTGATCCCAAGGACCCCCTTAGGTACGGGTCTGGGACCAGGAACGTGAGAGAGAGAGAAGATGAAAGAAATAGAGAGAGAGGGGTAGACCCGCCTAGGACGCGGGTCTGTAGCCTGAGCAAGTGGGAGACAGAGAGAGAAGGTAGCGCTCTTTACCTAGGAGATGGATAGTTATCTCTTATCAATTGGAAAAACATCCACTCTAAATGGCTTTGTATTAATAAACACTAAAAATACCTTATAATTTTAGGATAAATATTAATTACCTTATGAGACAAAAATTTGGCACATCAAAGGGGTCATGGACACCTACACGTACCAACAAAAAAATGTTTGATGTGCATTTTGCACTTTGCTTGCATCAACATAGATATATCTTACCAAGATGTCCCATGGCTGGTACATAACTACATAAAGTTTGTTACATTGTGATGTGTGTTGTATGTCAGATTTCACATGCACAATAGATGTCAAGAGCATAGCAAATTGCGTCATAGAGAACTCTATCCGATGGTCCAACTTTGGAAAAGTAGAGGTGAAATTTTCCATTCCCGTTGACACTACGCCACTAACATCTTAAAAAAAACTAATTTTTAAATTATTATATATATATATATATATATATATATATATAAAAGTAATGATTCAATGTAACGGTTGCATCATAATATAATGCAACGACACTTCTAGAAAACCATGTTTATCTATTTATTTCTTTTTTAACATTGTTTATCTAGTGATAATAAACTCAAAATCATTTATTTTTTTTTTAACATTGTTTATCTAATAATAATAAAGCCATCCAAAAAAATTAGAAATGAAAAAATCCTTCTAAGACCTAGATCTAAGCATCTTACCAAATGAACGGTCTATGTTTATTGGGCTAAAAAAATACTTTCTAGGTTGTGTTTTCAATTTTTTCTTTTTTTGTGATTTCTTTAGAATGAAAAGAGTGTATATTTCAAAATTTAGATCAAACAAATAGCCATAAGATGATTTTTTAAAGCTGTTGCATTATATTACTATAGAACGTGAAATTGAGCATTATTGAATGAAGAAACGCAACCCTTCAACATGCGATTACAATACATTTACAAAAACTAAACAAGCAGTTGCTTTTTCTATATAATAATCTCAAATTTCTCATATGGGTAGAGCTTGTGTAACATAAAGTTAATTCTCTTCTTGTCGACTTTTTCTCTCTAAAGCAAGGCTATTTTGGTGCTCGTAAATCTTGTTTACTTTTACATACATACAGGCAGAGTAAGCGTTCAATTTCACATTCCATTGACACAAAATTGGCTTGAGAAATTGGTTGCACACTTTCAAATATTTCAAGAATTCAAACGCTCATCTTTTTTAAATAGTTCACAAAAGTTAATAGAAAATGAGCTTAAAATTTTGAGATAAAAGAAATTCCCCATAACTTTAATTTTCAAGGGCTAGACTTATTTGGTCCGGCTTGACTATGTATTAGTTATCCAAACCAAACCGAAATGCACTTGATAATTTAAACATTTCTTAGCCCAGATTACATGTAGACGTGGTCGTTGCCGAACACATTACCAACTCTCAGCAACTATGACCGATATACTTTGTTAGGCATCTATAACACGGGAGATTTATATACTCAGTAAAAGTTTTGGTATTAAAGAATGGTTAGTATTTTTGGATTTTATACAGTAATGTTCCAAATTTTTGAGATTCTTTTTTTCATTTTACCCCCTCTTTTTTCAAAATCTAACTTTCAAACACCCTAAAAGACAAAAAATTGAGTGTTTACACAACTCGAACAACCCAAATGCTAAATTTTTTAGTCTTTTGGGTAGGTCAAAAATGGCACTTCGAAACTGTTTAAATACAATGTTTTGTGTATTCTGCCAGTTTGAAATTTGGACTTTGAATTAGAGATAGAATGACACTTAAAAACTCAATAATTTTGAACCTGTTGCCACAAAGTCTGAGTCATTATGCAATAAACGAACTTAGTTCATGCTTATAGGAAAATTTCCCTTGCAGCATTGAAGGTGATCAATATTAAAAATTTGGCAAATTTTGTGGTATGCTGAAACCATGGTCTTGGTGGCATCAAGTTCCAAGAAGCTAAAAACACAACAAATCAGAACTTCAAACATACTTAAGAAATTAAGCCTAAGGTTCTCTGTATAAAGCTCTTCCAGAGAGGAATTTACACCAAGTCCAAATCTCAAGCAGAACAACGATTGCGCCCATGAAGATAAGTAGTCCATAATATGACCACTGATAACCCAATGGTGGATCCAGGATGTGGAAGCCCTTGTAAATGTTGAGGATTATTGTAGCCAGCAGCGAGTAACCCACAAAATGGTGATAGATCACCCATTTTGTACTTCGCCGATCGTCCTTTTCACGTTGTTGCCTTAGGGCAAGTACCTGAGATAGAAACAAAATTCTTACCTGAAATAGAAACAAAATTCAAAACAAGAAACTGTATATTACAAGATAAGAAAGAGATATTACTCTTTCATACCCACTCTCCTCCTCATAAAATGAAATTGACTCCATTCATTGTAAAATAGCTTTTGGCATATATCTCTTTGATCTACCAGACATACTCAGTCATGCACATGTATATAAAATATATTTTTTAGAAAAAATATATAACATAAATATTTATTTTTATCAAGGAGGTCACAATCATTGTTGTCCTTTAGTTTTCAAATTGGATAGTTTTAAGTGTGTCATTAACTAGACCTAAAGTTCAAATAAAAAATTTCAAACTTCGTGACACAGCCCAAGCCATCCAAATATCCAATTTGCAATCTAGTGGCTAGGAGTAACAATGACCTCCTTGTTTAGAAAAATTATATCCAATTTTCACTGTCTAAAATTTGAACAAAAAAAAACAAAAACATCTCTCACTCACTATCTTTTGCAACGCAAATGTTTTGAAATCCCCTGGATAAGACCAATGGTGGTGGCCGATCCGGCTCCAGGGAAACACTAGTCATCCTATTCCCCAATTTCTTTCATTCTTTTTTTTCTTTTTTTTTTCTATTTTCTTGTTTTGTGTATATCAAGGATTCTTGATTTAGACCGGCCGAATCGGGAATCGGTCCCCTGGTGATTCAAGTACCATTCTAATTTTCAAAACAACAAATTCAAGGCATCGGTCTGATTTTTAAAACAGTCGCACGTGATGAATTTGTTTTGTTTTCTTTTTTTTCTTTTTTTTTTCCATAACTTTTGTTTCCAAACATCCGCATGGACAATGTAGATGAGTGATGAAAAATACCTGCAAGGCAGCCAACACAAAGATGATGGTGCCTAGAGCCTTATGTGCAACATAAATGTAGCCCGTTGAAGTGCTTCCCAACACCAAACCTAGTATCCAACCCGTGGTCCCCAGGAGCGCAGCGAAGATCTCTATCAATATGTGGGGAATTTGCCAATTCTTCAATGTGTGCACCACTCCCCGGAAATACCTAGGGAAGATAAGCCCAACAGGCACCAGAATTCCCCAACCTATTATATTCAACACTCCATGGGCCTGCATAAACATCAAGCAGACCATAACTTATGAGTTGCCAAAGTGACTTTTCTACTATATCTTGCTCGTTTCCTTCTCCATCTGATTTTTTTTTTTTCCCAGGAAGATGGAAAGAAACATGGTTAAAGTTCAGAAGAAAATATAAATAAATAAAATAAACACGATTGTAAAAGGAACCTCACACCGTTGAATTTGGTACACATGAACCTTAAAATAAGATTTGGAATGAAATTTAAACAAAAATCATGTTTTATTTTTAAAATTTAAAATATATTTTACACTCAGAGTCCTACTTTTTGAGAATATATAAGGCATTTTTATTTTTATTTTTATCATTCTTTAATATAGGTTGGATTAAGCTCCTATGTCAACATTTCTCACCATGTGCACCTTATATAAAATACCAAATAACTAATCTAAAGTAAATTGAATTACCAAAATACCATTGAATATTGCTGGGGCATTTTTAGTTATTTAATATCAGATAATTATTTTTAATACTTTTTACAATGATAATAAGAAGTATAGACGTTCCAAATTTGATCTTAATCCAATCCATAAAAATAAAACTTTAAATATGTTAAATGCAAAAAATATAAAATATAAGAGACTATTTTCAAGGGAAATTTATGCTAACATCCACTAATTTTTTCAGAATTAAGAATCTATTCCTCAGATGTTGTAACATACTCTCATGTCCCCTTTCTTTTTCTATATGTATTTTTTTCAAAATACCATCAGTTCGGACTCTCAATATCCAAACCAAAACTAAGGTAATTCAATGTCTATTGATATTTATATTTTACACCAATGTCCCTTTCTATCTTTCTTTTAATTTTTTTGTACAATGGCCTCCAGAGTGTAGGTCAACCGTCCATGTTCCAAACCAGAAGTTTAGGTTGGGTCGGAACGTGGAGACCCCGGGCCATTTTGGAAAAATTGAAAGAATGAAAAAAAAAAAAAGAGGAAAAAAAGGGAGATGAGTGTAATGTATAAACTACTCGACATAATTGCATTATTATTTTGTATTTTTTTTTGTATAGTCGTCCTCGTGCCCCAAATTTAAGGTTGGCTGTTAAAAAAAAAAAACTTAAAATATATTATGCCGTCTCAAATATGAAATAAAGGGCATTATGTTTAAATTACGAATATAAAATGTTTTTCTATAAATTTCATATTTCTAAATGCAATGAATTTATAGTGGATATTTTCTGCATAATTTCAAGAAAGGGAAAAAGAAAATATTTAAGGTGTTGTGATACAAAAAAGGAAAAAGTTCTTATAAGGTTGCAACCTTAAAATGTAGAATTGAAGGTGCATCTCAAAAATCCATCATAAAAGGTTGTTTGGATGTTGGAAAACCCTCTAATTGATCATATCGGTATGGAGATGTATGAATATGAAAAGAAAACAGATTTCGAGTCCGCGAAATAGTGTATCATGCAACACATTTTCTAGACTGTTCATTTTCAATATTTTTCATGTGTTTATAGATCTACTTGATTTGAACAATTTTTAGAGTTTAAAATTTTATAGTTAGAGATGAAAATAGATTGTCAAGCCATTCTACGAATTTTTTATTTCAAAATTATATTTATGATAGAATTTAGAGGTGTATCTTAATTGGATTGTTTAAGATTGAAACCTTTTGCAAACCACACCCTATAGATCTTAACCACTGATAAGTTAGCTTTTCAAATGTTTGATCAAAATATTTTAGAACCGGGTACGCTTTATATAAGGTGCCAACTTTAAACAATTGTAGTAATGTGCACCTCCGAACTTTATAAGAAGATGCAGTTCTAGTGCCAGAAACCTCTACAAGGCCAGAAAATCTATTTACACCTATAATTAGGAAATTTAAAGCTTATAAAATACTACAGATTTAGCACATATATAGACACTTGAATTTTTATTTATTTTTATTGTTTATACAAACACAAAAATCTTTGAAATGAATGATCTCGATAATGTGGAAGAAGATGTAATATTTTAGGATTTGAATTATTTTCTTATATTTATACATTTCAAAATCAAGATTTTCTGTCTAGTTTTTAGGGTGCACATTATTGTAATAGCATAAGGTTGATGCCTTATATAAAATATTTCATAGATAAGATATTTATGTAGAATATATAGGGAGGGAATTTTCATTAACTCTGCTAGGATGTTCTCTCACCATATCATGAAAAAAAAAGGCTCACTAAATGTTTAAACCCTTCCTAGAAAGTACATGCTATGCCTTTATTACCTGTCAGAGTATTTTGTAGTGTGCAAGATGGGATTTGTGTGGCACCCTACCCATTCTGGTACAAGTTTAGAAAGTAGGAATTTCCTCTTGTAACAAGAACCGTCTAGCACGTACATGATTGAGATAATTTTATACTTTTTTATTTCCTTAGTTCTTATGATAATTGATGCAAATATCTTTTCTAGATATATTTAAAAAAGGGTGTGGTTTGTATAGAACTTAGGCTTTAGATAATCAAATTAGAACCTACTTTCAAATAGTATCCAAAAATGTGGTTTCATTATTGGAAATCTTTGTGATAGTCTTAAAATATATTTTCATCTCCATTTATAACGTTAAAAATTTCAAAAATAGGGTACATCGACAAATGCATGAAAACTTGAAAATCATGAAAATTGACAGTCCAAAGATGCGTTACAAAATACACTATTTCCAAAACTTGAAATCTGTATGTTTTCTTATTTCCATGCATCTTGATGTTGAGATGATCAATTTGAAGATATTTGGGCATCAAACAACCTATTCTAGTGAAATTTTTGAGGTAGGCTCTAATTTGAATTAGATTGTTTAGAGCGTCAACTCTAGATAAACTTTTCCCATTTAAAAATATACCCAAAAATTTTCTATTTTATCGGGATGTCTCTTCTTCCCAACATTTTTATGTTTTCCTGAAATGCCTTTTTGTCCGGCCTCAAGTACTTATCTTTGTTTTGGGTATAATGTGGGGGGAAAGCTTTCTATGTTCCCCTTACAACATAGAAGAAATATCCTCCCCTACTATCCAGCCGTCTATTTTTACCAAGAGAGTCACTCACTGTTTGATCTAGATCCGACATCTCAAAGTATTTTATTTTCAGTTTTTTTAATACAATTTTTTTAAATATGAAATTTGGTGCGTACTATCTTCTCATTGGGGCGCACCTATAAAAAATATTAACAATAATTTTTCGATAAAAAATAACCAAAATACCCTTTGAACTTTTCAGGGATATTTTGATCATTTTATTTTATTAAAAATATTTTTTTGTGCTTTTATTTAGAGCGAGTTTAATAGAAGAATGGACATCCAAAATTTGGTATCAAAATAGTTTATAGAAAAAAAAAGAAAAATTAAATAGTGTAGAGACGTGACATTGTGATTGAGGCAATCTTAGCCCTCCATTAGAAAATGAACAGCTGGATAAGGGAGATGATAGAACTTCTATGTTGTAGGAGGAGCATACGTAGTTTTTCCTAATGTGGGTTCCGCACTTAAAGTGTAAAACTTTACATCACACCATCACCCAAACAAAACAATATACTTCCCCTATTAGGGCTTGCAATGGACGCATACCCGATCTGGGACCCGGCAAGTATACCCGAATTGGGAATGGGTCTAAAATTTGAACCTACAGGTAGGGTTCGGGTCCCACAATTTATACTCCAAATTTTCGGATACGGGTAAGGCTACAAATGGGCAGGGCCTGAGCAAGGCCGGAGCCCGAAAAATCTTGGACTTGATTCTACCCGGCTTGATGAGGCCCAGCCCGAAACTATGCCCAATAAGGCCCACCTGTTCAAGGCCCGGAAGTATACCCCAATGCTCGGCCCAGCCCATTAACCTTATTGGACCTGGCCCAGCCCAATTTAGATTGTTTTTTTTTAATCTTTCCCAACTTTTCTAGTAAGCGAAAAAAATTATTAATTATTTTATTTAGGTTTCGAAAGAGAGAAGAGGTTTTTTGAGAGATAAATTGTTAATTATTTTATTAAAGTCTAATCATTCTCCACAAGGATTTCTCTAGGGTTTTCTGCATAAGACGCATCAATTTCTTGAAAACCCTAGAAAAGAATCGACGATATGTGTATCTTCCTATGATTGAAATGACTTCTGATTTTGAAATGGATTTTTGTTCTCCATGTCCTGAAACCTTTAAAACGCTTTAGATCCGAAGTTTTAGGATTTTTGCTCTGCGTGACTTGACTGGGATACTATCCAAGGTGATAATCTTAGACAAGTTCTATGCGTTCTACTTTTATACACAGTAAACCACAAATCATAGTTTTCTTCTGTCTCAACTTTTTAGAGCCCAGGGATAAGTTTTCTGAGAGAATTGTAAAAAAATTGGCACAATTCAACTGAACTTGGGGGATTTCTGGAAAAAGTTCAAGGAAATTGAGTTAACTAAAAAATATTCCTTTTATTGAATTTGAGCCATGTAGCGTTAAATTTTGTCCCCAACATATCTAGAATGTGCATTATATCTGTTTTCTGTAGAATTCAGCACCTACTAAGTTCGATTGACTCTACAAATATTATTGTTTGGTATTGGTCCGTGAAACTAGGCTTTTGATTTGATGATAAGAGTGTCTACTGAACTAGTTTTTTTATTTGATGATAGAAAGAAACAAAATATGTGAACAGTTAGGCTCTGTACGACACAATCACAATCCCCAGTCGATACCAAGACTTACTATACAAATAGACAAGGAATTTTACATTTTGCAGTTAAATGTTAAAAAAATGAAGTGTGCCATCCCAAATAAATAATTTCCAAGTGTGGACATGACCCCTCTTTTTTTAGTACGTAAGTAGCTGGTTATTTACAGAAGAACCCACATCCTTTCAATTGAAAACAAATTTTGGCTGATGAACTCATCTCAATCTTTTGAAGCCTTTCATTCGAGCGTCCATTAATATGTGCTCCATTTTTTATTTCTGATCATTTAAATAGATGATTCAATAGTTCATCAGGGGATGATTTTTCATTTTAGTTTAGTGAGCCAGTAATGAAATTGAAGAGTGGAGTTACCCAAAAAAACGAAGCGTCAGCCAGTAGCTAATTAACCCAGCCGAGGGGTTTCACGAGTGGCTTTGCCATGAAGGGAGAGAGCTAGGTTTCCCCTGATCTGGTGGTCATTGCTGCCCTCCCCCAATGTTTTGCCCTTGTTTAGGTTGGTGAAATTGAGGTTGCAGTTGCCTTCACAAGGTTGCAATTACCGTGAGGTAGAGAGAGCTTCGCAGTGGGTCTCTTATTTGAGTCCGAAAAGGAAAAGTGACCAGTAAGAGAGACTTGTTGCGGTACATTTCCTGGAGCCAAGTGATTTGTTATGCTTTTTTTGCTCTATATGCTTTTGCTGAAAATCGTTTTGCCTCATGTCTTTTTCTAATTATTGTTGCTTGATATTGGGATCTATCAAGAGCCCTAAATCCTGTTTGGATTGGAGTTTTAGATATTTAAAGAAAATCAGCGACCTGTAACGAACTTGGGAAATTTAATAGGGCTTTCAATGGCATTCTGTTAGGATATCTGGAGAAAATCGGTGACCTTAAGGTAAAAAGCATTTATGGAGAATCAAAATACTACGAGTTCGAGTGTACCTGAGAGGATGAATGGATATTGGTGTTTCAACAGCATAGCATGAGTTGGTGTTTCACTTGAGTTAGTGATTTACTTTGGGTTTTTTTCTTCCGCGGATATTCCAGAGAGAGATAGAGCTGGGAGTAATAAGCATGAACATGGTGGGGACTTTGAATGGTGGGTTTAGATGGAAATAATGTACTGTCGTGGGTATTCTCGTGATCTCTATAGCTCAGGTTCAGAGCTTGAGCTTTAGGTACGGGTCCTCTGGTTCGGGTACGGGTACAAAAAAATTGGAACGATCAGGTACGGGTCTAGGTCTGGGTACTCATATAGGCTATATCTCGGGTATGGGTACTGTCTCCATTGGACCATACCCGTATCCGACCCGATGCCACCCCTACCCGTACTATATGAAATACATATACCTTCCCTATCCAGCCGTCCAAGTTTGATTGAGTGAGTTACTAACTATTTGATCTAGATCTAATGCTTCAAAGTATTTTATTTTTAATTTTTTATATAAACTATATGAATATGAAATTTGGTACGTGCTGTCGTCTCAATAGGGTGCAGCTAAAAAAAATATTTTGAAGAAATAAAATAACCAACATATCCCTTAAAATTTTCAAGGCATTTCTATCATTTTATTTTATTGAGAATATTTTTATTTTTTATTTTGTCCAAATGTGAGGTTAAGATAAGAGTGGATGCCCAAATTTTGGTGTCCAAATGTTTTGTAAAAAAGATTTAAAATAAAACAGTGTAGAGGTGTGACATTGTGATTGGGGTCATCTGAGTTGCCCATTTAGAATGGACAGTTGGACCTGAAAAAGTATATAAGTTTTATACATTACATGAAGTATAAAAAGTGTGGCCCAAAAAACTATGTATCACAAAATTAAACAACCGAATACCTTTGAAATATTCATACGTGCATTATGACTATTTTTATAATTCAAATTACTTTTTAAAAATTTTATGTGTTGCTCACATGTCCTTCAAATTTTAGGTCAATCTAATTCTTAAATATTTTTTAATTAAAACCTATCGGATACGTGTGGTGTAATCTAATTCTTAAATGTTTTTTAATTAAAACCTATCGGATAAGTGTACGTGTGGTGTAATCTAATTCTTAAATGTTTTTTAATTAAAACCTATCGGATAAGTGTGGTGTATATTGTATACTAAAATACTATTTATCTTTGTCATAAAAGGCTTGGTGTATCACAAAACTCAAGTAATGTTTTTTGAACTTTGAATCTAATAAATGACACTCTTCTATTAACTCATAAATGCCTTAATCACATGAGACTCACCTTCTATCATTAGATTTGATCAGATTCGAGCAAAAATTGGCCTGAAAACCCGACGTATCGCCTTTTCCGGGCACCCAATCTTGCGAGAACTACCTAAATCAATGAAGGGAAAGAAAAGGCCCAATGGGTCTCGTAGGTTGATTGTCAATAGGTACATGTCGCTTTTCTGATCGCGGAACATGCACGAGCCTGTGCTCGAAATTCTTTAGTTCTTATTCCACCTGTGAGTTGTTCTAATTAAGCCTTGGATTTATTGTTGTGTGTGTTTAGAGAAAGCTATAGATGGAGATGGAGAGACATAGATGAGCAGCAGTCTTACCTATGATGCTTGAGAGAGAGGGAGGGCTGCTTGGAGAGGTGGTGGTCCTCTAATGGAGAGAGATAGATCTGGTTGTAGAGGCCTGTTTGATTGCCACCTTTTACTTTTTCGTCTCTCAAACTCTGAAAGAGAGAGCTGCTGATTTAAAGAGAGAGGGGGAGAGGCCAGGATGGTTTGGGTGGTGCTGATTTAAAGAGAGAGGGGAAGAAGCCAGGATGGTTTGGGTGGGGGAGGGAGAGAGGGCTAAATTAGGGAGAGGGAGAGAGAGTGTTGGTTTTAGAGAGAGGGAGCAGGACTGGTCTTAGCAAAAGGGAGCGGGACAGGTTCTAGAGAGAGAAGGTGTGCAGCTGGTTCTAAAGAGAGAGGATGGCAGAGAGATGGGAGAGATGTGTAAAGTTTAGAGAGAGAGAGAGAGGAACGTGTTTAACGAGGTGACGATGTCAGAGCAGAGGCCTGTCATGGCATTAATTTCCCGTTTCAAACGATTTTAAATGTAGGGAACCGGCTGCCCATCATGCCGTTGAAGAATGCCGACATAATCCACGTCATTGGCGAACGATCCCTTTAATAAATATATGATTTTAATTTTTAACTTTTTGTTAAATCAAATGTAGTAATTCTATACGTTTGATTTTATAATTTCCATGATCATAATAGTTTCAAAGTCAACATTGGGATTTAAGTTAAGGGCAAGCTTTTTATGCTTCCCTACAACATATAATCTTTCTTTTTATCCAGCCGCTCATTCTGAATGGAGGGTTAAGATTGCTTCAATCACAATGTCATGTCTCTATATTATTTTATTTATAATTTTTTTCTATAAACTATTTTGACATCAAATTTTGGATGCCCATTCCTCTATTAAACTCACACTAGTGAAAAATATAAAAAAAACATATTTTCAATAAATTAAAATGACCAAAATACTTTAAAAATTTTTAAGGGGTATTTTGGTCATTATATTTTTTCGAAAAATTATTTTTAATATTTTTATAGGTGTGCCTCAATAAGAAGATGACACATACCAAATTTTATATTCATACAATTTGTATAAAAAAAGCTAAAAAAAAAATACTTTGAGACGTCGGATCTAAGATCAAATGATGAGTGATTTTCTTGATCAAAATTGGATGGCTGGATAGTAAGGGAAGGATAGAACTTCTATGCTATAGAGAAAGCATAGAAACCATTCCCGTAAGTTAATGAGACTGTACTGTGCAACATATTAGTAAGTTATTCTCTCAATTTATACATATCACTAAACAATTTCCTATCATTCAATCACCTAGTAAAAGAGACAGATATTGTTATATTTTCTAATTCACTCTATGTTTCTTGTAAAATATATTTATATCAATATTACACTATGTATTATATTTTAATGAGATTTGCGAAATAGAGGCATCTCACTAGTATATGTAGATATGTAGAGAATAATTTTTAACCGACCTTATGGTAATATAATGAAATGAACCTTAAAAAACTATATTAAGAGTACTTGTTTGAACTTTATTTTAAAACGTACACTCAATTGACCATGTTCACTGGTCTCAAAAAAAAAAAACTCATCCTAAAAATTGCTTTTTTTTATCCAATAAACATAGTATATGTTTTGATGGGATGGGATGATCAGATCTAGGCTTCAAAGGAAATCTTTTTTAATCCCAAATTTTAAAGATGGCATTTTGTTGAATGAATAATTTTAAAAAGAAAAATAAATTAATTTTAAATTCTTAAAGATCCAGATCTCAATGCGCATCAAAATTTGGATCCCTTCCATGCTTCCCAGGAGATCCATGCCTACAATTACACCGTAAAACATGCCATAAAAACACCTAAGCAGAGCAATAGTACAACAATGGTAAAAACACTGAAGCAGAGCAATAGTACAACAATAGTAAAAACACCGAAGCAGAGCAATAGTACAACAACAGTTTGAAGAAAATATAATATATGTAGCATTAGGGTTCAAAATATTTGATATGAGATTTCAAATTTCAGCAACTGAAAGTTAGGCTGTGTCCTTTGGCCTCTCAAAGTCCGGCAAGTTTGATAGAGGAGAAAAAAACGCACCCTAACCATCAGATTTTAAAATTGGAGGTCAGGGAGTTGATAGAAAGTGTTTTGCATAACACAGAAAAAATGGCAACATAGACATGGCCCCAACCATTAAAAGTCCTGATAATATCGATGAACATTGTGTATTAATATCTGCAACACAAATGAAAACAACAAGAACAAGAAGTGCACTTACTGTTCGGAGGCCGTCGACAGGATAGTCAGGCCACACTGTCTTCCTCGAACTGAGGTTCAAAGATTCTCGGTTATCGAAGTGGTGAAGATCCAGTTGGTGTCCTCTAAGGCAGAACTGATCATCAGCCCCTGAGCCATCCTGCCATAGATGGTGAAGAATTGGATGGTGGGTGTCATTGGTGGTATTGGCAATAACGAAGGAGTTGTGCACAATGGTAGCAAAAATCATTATTATGGTTCCGTCGACCAACAAGGCTTGCTTATTTGTAAAATTCACAAAATTCGCTTTTCTATCTGATGTCGGTAAACATTTATGGCTCCGGCTCAAAGCAGAGGCCCTTGTCAGGTTATAGGTATTCAAGACAGTCCCATTGGGCTGTTGAACTGCCACCAGGGCCACTGTGCCATCCATAACCGGTGCCATCCGCCCATTTAAGTTTATCCCCCATGCTACCCATGTGGACCTTTTCTGCAGGCGAGCTTGGAAGCCGATGCTGATCATCCCCTCTTTTTCCTGGAGTGACCACCCGAACGCCCAATCAATTCGTCTCAGTTTCTTACAAAACGTTAGGTTTCTCTGCGTGAACTCGTAACGAAACTCGCCCCCATCACAACCTACAGCCTCAGAGCAGGATATGCATGGTAAGGCCATCAAACCAAGGAAGATGAGAAGAGCATGGCGAGCCATTGTGAGAAGAAGAAGATACAAAATGTGTGCTCTTGGTTCTTAGTCCCCAGTAGTATTTGGATTTATTTTGGCCTGCAAAGTAGATGTGGGGTGCATGTCTTTGTCTCTTTAGTTATCAGGGCAGGTATGCATGACAAAAGGCATCCTCTTTAGTTAGCACTGTTGCATTGTAGAAAAGAGAAAGGGCAAAATAAAGATACAAAAAGCAGACAAAGGGATGCTAAATTAATTCTAGTCTTGTTTCTGCTGACTAAAGTTCTCTTCTTTAATGTTCGCCATCCTCTGTCCTTTATCAAAACGCACAAACACAAAAGAAAAAAGGTAATCTTATATAAATATAAATATCTCTTTTTTATGAATACATAAGGAAATTTTTAACTTGTGACATTCATTTATGGTACCTCTTTCAAGTGTTTTTTTCAGTCAGTGTTATGTGACTTGGCCGAGTAATTCGGCCTCCCTAAGGCAAATTGGATGCCCAACTTGCCCCTCACCAAAAACCACCTTAAAAGAAATTTATAAAAGTAAAAAAATCTAAAAAAATAAATGCACTGTTTAGAAATGATTTTTAGGTGGTTTTGACAGTTTTGTCGATAATTTGGGTTCTGTTATATATTTTTTTTCATTTTCTAATTTTTCTGAAATATACTAGGTATAAATAAAAAATTTCTTTTTTTTTTTCTGAAACTTTAAATAAAAAATTTCAATAGTCCATATTTTGTAGAGATTTAGAAAATTTTTTCTTTTAAAATTTGTTTGATTTCCCTACATTTTAAATGGTTCTGCATAACTCAGCCTAGTTACTCAATTTTAATAAAGTAAAAAAGAAAAGGACAGACGAAGTGAAAGGTCTCACATCTCTAAATTGCGCTACTAGACCCCATTGATACGCTTTCTTGTAGAAAAGTATCATTATCTCTCCAATGTATTAATATGAAGAGAAACCTGAAATTTCAAAAGTGTGAGAGTAACTTTTCCCACATAATTTGATTTATGCCTTACTTTGGCATATATATATGTTGCGCTTTACCTCGGTTTCTTTTAGCAGACATAAAGAAGTTGTCTCATATATATATATATATATATATATATGGGTTTGTCTAGAATTAATAACTTCTCAAAATACAAAAGTTCAAGTTAGAAGCTATTGTGATAGGTGTATTTATCAAAATAATCATTACTTTTTTATTAAAAAATTATTTAGATATGTAATTTTACCATAAAGCAAGAGTAAATTTGAAATCTTCACAAAAGTACAATGATATTTTGGATATTAGAGTCTTGAAACTTTATTTGTAGAGTACGTTTGTCTTTTAGTTAAAATTTCAATTTTACCGTTTATGGAGATGATGAAAATACCTTTTGTCTTGTCGTAATATTTACAAATTTGCCCCACAAAAATAACTCTTTTTAAAAAATAAACAACAAAATTAATAAATCCACTCTTCACAACTCTCTCTATCTTGAACCTTTGTAATTTTAAAGGTTGTGAAGTATAGAATATCATTATATATGCCAAACACCACCCAGGTATGCAACAGGCTACCCTAAGGGACTTATCGCTTCTCTGTGTATCCCGACACACACTCACGCATCTACAAGCAAGAGGGACTTCATTCCTCATGCTACTCACAGACTCAAAGAAAAAGGGGACGTATCTGAGCCGTCCGAGTGAGGCAGGACATGACATGCTAAAGAGAAGAAAATAAGAAGAAATATGCTAAAATGTGAAGAAAAGGTGAAGCACCCAAGCAGAAAAAGAAGAAGAAGATTTTATTCATGAACAAAGGGAAGTACAAGTCTCTATTATAACAAGGCCACCCTCTGATGTACAAGTCTTTGTTACAATGAGGCCATCCCCTGATAAACAAAAAGGCAATACAGGTCTCTGTTATAAGAGGGGAGAAGCTGCCCCTACAAAAACTGTTGTGAAAAACTACTTCGATTTCCTCAAGGGACAAAATGATCGACCATCCTTATGGTAAAAGAATCGAATACCAAAAGTCAAAGACATCACTCCACAAGATGCAAGAACCTTCGCTCCAGAGACAGCTTGGAATACCTAGATAGAAGGATCTCCCTTGTGCGAGTGATGAAAGCTACCCTTGCATATGCAGATAGCCATCTCCAATGAGCAACCTCGTTCTCCCTTAACAAGGCATTAGTTCTCCCTCAACAAGGCCTTAGAAAAATAGAAGAAGACTCCTTGTTCTTTTTCATGACAAAGTGAGGGTGAAAAAGGAGCGCTATCAAAAGAAGGCCAGAATAGGACACACCTCTTGTATAACAGATGACTTATCCAAGCACCACACAACAAACACGACCAAACTCCTCGTTTGGTCGATCTTCACCACCAAAGGGATGGCCAAGTCAGCACTTTCATGAGCCAGCCTCGGATGAACGAGATCGGATATGAGTTCGATGATGACTAACATCGGGTACATGGTGATAAGCATCATTCTACCACTCCAAAGAGCGTGAAAAAAACTAGAGGGCTCAAGCCCTCCGTTAGGAAAGTGGCCCATTCACCGAGCCTCTTGGAGCAAGCTCAACTCTAAAAAACAAGCACAGGAAAAATTCCCTATGCTGCATCCCAGAGTAAACCCCCTACTATAGAGAAACTATAGGCTCGTCATAAAAGTGCCTGCCATTTCCCAAAGGGACGCCTCGTACAACTACATCGACATGTGTCGTCAAACAGTGCTTCAACTCCTCAACGACCACTGTCTTCACCGCTGCGCCTTCTAGGCGCCATTATCACCATATCACAAGGCGGATTTCACGCTGATGCTTCACCTTCCAAAAACGTCACCTCACTAAAGGAAAGCCTGCTGCGCCTATCCGTATTCCATCATCTCCTTCCACCATGTGTCACCAACGGACAGCAAAGTCCTCCAAGTAAAATGACCAGACCCAGGGCTCCCGTCTCGGATCTCCCTCTACGACCCTTGCTGCAGTGAAAAAAAAAAAAATTGGGCATGACGAAAACCCGAAAGAGGCGATATGAGTAAAAAGGGAAAAAACATCAAAGGTGGACGTGACCCCGAAGTCACGGGCAAAAATACCTCAAAAAGGGCAGTTGGTGAAAGCCATCATCGTGACACTATTCCTAGTTCAAGTGAAAACCCGGAAAGGGGGTTTGGAACAAAAACAAAAGAAAGAGGGGCATGTCGCCAAGAAATAATTCCTGACCACTCCTCATCCCACAAAAGAAAAATCCGGCGTCAATGTCACCCTCCAAAAATTTCCGGTCTCAATGCCACCTCACAAAAGAAAATCCGGCCTCAACTCCACTGTCCAAACAATTTCCAGCCTCAGCGCCACCCCAATAAAAGAAAATTCAGCCTCAGCGCCACCCTCCAAAAATTTAGGGCCTCAACGCCACCCCACAAAAGAAAAAAATCTAACCTCAGCGCCACACTCCAAAAATTTCAGCCTCAGTGCCACCCCCACAAAAGAAAATCCGACCTCAGCGCCACCCAACAAAAAATTTCCAGCCTTAGGGCCACCCCCACAAAGAAAATTCTACCCTCCAAATATTTTCGGCCTCGGCCGCACCCTTCAAAAATTTCTAGCCTCAGTGCCACCTCACAAAAGAAAAAAATCCGGCCTCAGTGCTACCCTCCAAAAAAATCTGGCATCATCGCCACCGCACAAAAGAAAATTCGACCTCAGCGCCACCCTCCAAAAATTTTCGACCTCAGCGGCACTTCACAAAATAAAATTTGTCCTCAACGCCACCCTCCAAAAATTTATGGCCTCAACGCCACCCCCAAAAAAGAAAATTTCGACCTCAACGCCACCAAAAAAAAAAAATTCTGCCTCCTCCAAAAATTTTGGCCTCAACGCCCTTCCACAAAATAATATTCGGCCTCAGCTCCACCCTAAAAAAAATTTCCAGCCTCAACGCCTCCCCAAAAAAGTTTTCGGCCACAGCGCCACCCCTCCAAAAATTTTCTGCCTTAGTGCCACCACCCTAGAAAAGAAATTTCGGCGTCAGTGCCACCCTTCAAAAATCTCTGGTCTCAGCGCCACCCCTCAAAATTTTTCAGCCTCAACGCCACCCCAGAAGAAGACCTTCGACCCAGTGCCATCCCAAAAAGGTCAAAAAAGAAAAGAAGAAGCATAAAAGCAAATATAACTCATACGAGTATAAGATGCCCCCTAAAGGCACACCACTGCCAACCAAAAGGAATAACACCCCCCGTCAAAAAACTTAGGGTGAAGACGCGCGAAAGAGACCGCCTTGCAAACCCTCCCTATCGATTGCTCCAGACTATTTGGGACAGGCCACACAAAAGCCCTCTACTGGACCCGATAGGTTGGGAACCAGAAGAGGTACCCTGACCAGCCAAAACCATCCCTAATTCCAGCAAAGCATCGCATGCACTTGCCAAAGGCTCTTCTACCATCTATCTAAGGTACAAGCCTCCAGAAGGTCTTAACAAGGATTCTAAAATGATGAGCTTCGACGTAAAAAACCACGTCTTTTCAAATGTTTCACTTCTCACCTCTCTCAAAGCATAGCATCCGTCGGGGCAAGTTGTTATACGTCATTTTTGATGCACCTCCACCCCCCAAATCAAATAACAAAAGAGAGCCAGGACAGCCCGGTCACCACGGTGCACAAGACATAGTCACACCAAAACAATAGCTGTAGATGGAAAAGTCTCGAATAAAGATGACCGAAGGAGAAGATGCCTACAAGAAGAAAATTCGAAGCCTTATCCCCACCACGATATGTATAGGAGCTGAATAGGCATGCCAAACAACCACCGTCATCTTCCAAGAAAAAAGAAGCGGGCTTGGGCTCAAGCAGACCGACCCAGCAGCCCTAAGCCCGGACCATCGTGAAGTAGGGCGTAGGCATGCCTTTCGTCGTACGACCTCATGAAGCCAGTCGACGACCATGGAGATTCTTTGGCCACTCCTCGATGGGCTAGCAACTCCTTGCCAGCAGTAGAAGAGTAGCCAAAAAGCCTCACATGCCCACGAAAGCTTCAACGATATTTCTTTCTAACGATCAACCACGAAGACAAGCCTCTGCCACGAAAAGTAGAGGAGA